TCTCCTCCTCTTGATGGTGTCTTCACAGAGCAGAAATTTTTAATTTTAATGAAGTTTAGTTTATCAGTTATTTTATGAATTGTGTCTTTGGTATGTCAAAAGTCACTTAGATTTTTTTTTCTATGTTATCTTCTAGGAATTTTATAATTTTGTGTTTTACATTTTGAGGTAATTTTTGTAACCGGTGTAAGATCTGCATATAGATACACTTATTTGCATGTGGATATTCAGTCATTTCAGCATCATTTGATGAATCTAGAATTTTTTCTAAATGTGAAAATATTAGATCCAGACTTTCCTTTATTCAACTTCAAGCTAAAAGCATTTCCTAACCCTGGCAGGTGTGATTCAGTTAATTGGAGCATCCTCCCATGCATCAGAAGGTCTCAGGTACAATTCTTGGTCGAGGCACATATGGAAGACAACCCAATTGATGTTCTCTCTCTCTCTCTCTCTCTCTCCCTCCCTCCCTCCCTCCCCCCATCCATTCTCCCTTCTTCTCTAAAATCAATTTTAAAAAATTAAAAAATAAATAAAAGCATTTCCTTAGCAAAATTAAATAAAAAGGATTAATAATAACACCTACCCTACATGATTGTGAATTAATGGTTGTGTAGATATCTTGCAAACTATACAGTATTATGCATATATTGCTGCTACTATTATTTTTAGTATTACTCAGCTCCTGGCCTCAAGTAGCTTCCAGTCTACTAGTAGTGTGATGTTTATGCTCAGGTATTTAAAAAAAAAGAGAGAGAGAGAAAAACAAAATGATGTGGCCAGAAAGAATCCTGAAATAGAAGTCAGACACTCTGGAGCAGACTACTCTATCTGCACCTTATCAGCTGTGCCACCTGGGCCAAGTCACTTGACCTCTCTGAGCCTCAGGTTGCCGACCTGTGAAATGAAGGGTTGAACTGTTTGACATTATTAATTTAGTGAGAAAATATATCAATTTTTTTCCTAAGTGTAATGAATAAAATGTCAAGATGGTTGAATTTTCTCTTCTAACATAGACAAAGTCAGGCCATACCTCTTGTTTGAAAATTCCCCTCCTTTCCCAAGAAGTCCCAATTGTGGGTTTCTGTGTTGATTTAGAGTCAATATAGTCAGTAAAGTCCCAAGGAAATGGCAAAACACATGCTCAGATTGGGTTTTTGTATTCGTATTTTATAAACATTTCAGGATTTTTTCTTACCTTTAACCTTTTGTCATTCTTAAAGTGATCTTATATCCTGGAAACTCGGTTAGAAACAGCCTCGGGGTCATCTCATCCAACTTCTTTCTGTGTGGCTCCTGTTCTTAGCAACACCTCTGGCAGAATAGTCTGGTAGTTAAACATGGATTTCAAAGCTAGGTTGCCTTGGTTCACATCTGGCTCTGCTCTTAATAACTTTGAGACCTTAGGCGAGTTACTTAGTCTGTTCCTTGGCTCAGTTTCTTCATCTGTAAAATGAGGATAATAATAGTACTGATCTCAGATAACCTACCCCAGAGGGTTATTATGAAAAACAAATTATTTTTAAAATGTAAAGTGCTTGGAATATGCAGGGAACAAAGTAAATGCTCAGTAAATGTTAGCCATTATTATTATCACCATCATCATCATCATCATCATCATGATGTTCTTCAAATAAGCCTCTATTTGAATGCTTCTAGGGACACTAGAGAGTACGCTCACTCTACCCTCCCAACCCCTCCATCACCCAAGGCAGCCTGTTGGCGATGTTGGCCAGGTGCTTTTGGTTATTGTGCTTGTTGGAGTCAGATAGACTTGAGTTTGAAACTTTATTCTATTTGCAGCCTTGGTCAAGATAAGCCATGGTATCTTCTGTAAAATGGCAATAACCTACTTCACTGGGTGTTCTGAGGACTACTTTACGGTACTATATACAAAGTAGTTAGCATGGTTCCAGCTACATGGTAAGCATTCAATAACTGATAGTTGCTGCAATGATGATGATGAAGATGATGCTCTGTCTACTTACCAGTCCTCAGATATTCAAAGGGCTGACAGGGCCCCTGCCTGCCCTGGGGCACACAGGCAGCACTTCCCAGTGCCCCTCCAGGGAGACATCTCCCGCTCTGCAGCTGTTTCTCGGAAAAGAACGTGGTGTTTAGACTCTGTCCTGCTAGGCTCTGTCCCTCCTGGCGTGCTCCACCTCTTCTTGAATGGGCCCAGAGCACGGCAGTGTGGTTTCACAGCATGGCCACTGTTGTGCTGGAATGAAGCATGGGGACCTACATCCCCTAGGTCTACACCAGTCAAATGAGAGTGAAAACAGAGACTATCCTGTTCACTTTGAAACTCCTGTCTGAAATGACCTTCAGAAAAAAAAAAATTGCTTATGATCTGGGGCACTAGATTGCGCAGCCCCAGCACAACCATGTTTGCTGTGAAGCAGTCCATTGTGGCCCAGCCCCACCGCAGCTATAAAAGGCGGTCTCCAGATATTGAGGCATTGCCCTATCAAGGAAAAGGGAGCACTTCTGCTGGGCACTGGGTAGAAATAAGAATGGCGGCCAGGTGCAGACTGAGCTCCAGGAAGTTTTGGAGGAAAAAGCTCCAACATTGAGGTCAGACAGACCAGGTCCTTTACCCAAGGCAGCACTCCAGCTAGTGATGGCTGCCACCCTCTGAGCACTTCCTGGCTCGGGCACTGTGCCAGCAGCCTCACTAGCATTATTCCAGTTAGCTGTCACCACAGCCTATAAAGGAGAAACCGATTATTCCCATCATACAGGTGAGAAAACTGAGACTCTCTGGTTGTGTAACTTCTTCAAGGTCATATAGGTAGTAAGTGACAGCTGGGATTTGAATCTAAGTCTGCCTCACTCTTTTTAACCATTGTGCAATATACACATACCCTTACTGGCCTTAAATAAGTGCCAGCCCTTCTGAGCCCTAATTTTGTCATTTTCACCTACCCTGCATAGTTGGTCTAGGGATTAAATGGGATGACATATTTATAGTGTTTGGTATGTAGTAGATGTTCAAGAAATTTTAGTTTCCCCTCCTTATGTCCCAGCTTTCCCACTTAAAGTGACAGGGAAAATCACTTAACGTTTTCTGGACACAGTTTTCTCATGTAAAAACTGGGTGTGTTTTCTGAACCTCTGACCTTGCATGTTGACAAGCCAGGCAGGGTTCGGCTTGGGCCTGAGGCTCCAGCCTCCCAGCCTCTTTTGCTTTGCAGCGGATCTTTCTGGCAGCATGCACAGCTCTGGCACGGTTATGATTATGGTTTCTCCCAGCAAACATTATATTTACAAACCACAAATAACAAAGTAGAAGGTGCCGGAAGAGCTCTGGCATGTTAATTAAGAACAATAGCGGAAGCAGCTGGGCAGAAAATGCCAGTGAGTCGGAAGCAGCAGCAGCACAGCTCTGCTTGTTGACAGAAGCCAGCACGGTGTTGTACATTAATTGGGGAAGTGGGTAAACATTTGCCAGCAGCTTGCCCCCAGTGCATTGGAAGACGGACAGCAGGCTGGGCCCTCCCCACCACCTTGCCTGCCCATGTGCCCAGAGCCCCAGAGATACCAATAGAGCAGCTTTGCTCTAGGTTCCTTATAAGCAGAGAGGATTCTAGAGGCAATGTGTCTCCTTAATGACCCTCCTGGGCATACCAGGTTTCTGCCGGATACAGTTGAAGATAGTGTTCCTCCTTCAGCTCACCAGCCTGCCTATGACACTCGGCCTCCAGGACCCCCCAGTGGGCTAGGAGAAGACAGGGGAGCCATCTTATTGGGTGTGGCTTGAATTGAGCAGAGAACATGATTGCCTGCCTGGGGTGCTGCAGTCTCTGCCCACAGGCCCAGAGCTCCTGTGTCTGACAGCACACTGCCCAGCCTCTCATCACGCACAGGATGGACGCAGGTAAAGCTGCCCAGCTACCTGTATCCATCCTCACAGTTGCTCACACATACCGCAGCCATCACTGAGACCGGCTCTGGGCCAGACACTCTGCTAATTATATATTTTTTCTCATTTAATCCTCACATCAGTCCTGCATGATTGATACTAACTCCAAAGCCACAAAGCTAATAGCCAAAACAGCTGTGATTTAAACCAGAATCTTTCTGGTTCCAAAACCCATTGTCCTTTCCACTAAACCAGTATTTCTCAGCATTTTAAAATTTATGATCTCTTTCATTAAACAGGACATTTTTGTTTTTCTCTCCCATTCAGAAAACATCCACGTCCCATCCCTGCCCCCAGCCTAGGAGGTTAGGAGCCTAACTTAGGATCCCTGTATGATTAGCATATCCCAGCTGAGCCAAGAGGATTTTGTCCAGCTCTGTTCTCTATGGTTCACATTATAAAATAATGTTTTTTTATGTTCTGTAACATAGTCACATTATGACATTGACTTATTTTTTCACACATACACCCAACAGGGAGATTGTGTTATGCCTCCCTAAGGAGCCTCTCCTCGAAGGGGAGATACTCCTCTGTGGGCGTGGTGGAGTGGGTGTCTGCAGTTTATCACAGGAGGTTTAGCAGCCAGATGAGCCGCAGAGGCTTAGCTCCTTCCCAGCGCGCAGAAAAGGCCTCCCTGCTGTCAGGAGTTAACCAGGGAGAGGGCCCAGAAATGCCATCAGTCCTTTAGCCAGCATCCTTTCCTCAGGGCCTCCTGTTCTGTTGGCCACGCTGAACTGTGGCAAGGACCCTCCACCTGCCCAGGAAGAGGTCCAGTCTGGACCTGTGCCTTGAGGTCAGGTGCTAGTTCCTCCACTGAACTGTGAGACTTGAGCTCTCTAAGCCCTGGTTTCCTCGATTATAAACTGGGAATAACACCTACCTGGCAGGGCTGTTTTGAGGATCAAATAAGAGAACAGTTATATTGCAAATCTTGCGTGAATTTTGGGACACCCTATACAAATGCTCGTGTCAGGACGTAGCAGGCTCAAAATCAATGTGCGTTCAGGACCTGAGTGCCATGTGGAGAAAACCGTGCTTTTCCAGTCTTTTGAATATATGCTTTTTTTCTTTTTAGATAACCCAGCTGGACCCAAATAAATCATTGTTGGAGGTAAAGTTGTTCCCTCAAGAAACCCTTTTTCTTGAAGCAAAAGAGTAAACACGCCCAGCGGTGGAACCAGCCATTCCTTGACTTGCCTGAGGCCTGCATCAAGAGAAGGGCTCTTTGCCAACCCACCTACACGCTCGTCTCATTGAATTCAGTGTCACACTCTGCCTCTTGCAAGATTGCTGGAAAAAAGTAATAATAAACATAGCTACTTAACACGTCCCATCCACGAGTATATGTTCCCAGTACAGCTCTGCTGCCCCCCCTCCTCCCTTCACTTGGCCCGGTCAGTGACAATGCACTGTTCCAGTGTGCGTGACCACAGAATAGGACCGATGCCTCTCCAGGGCCCTCTGCCCCCCAGTGTCCAGACAGTTCTGTCTGTCCAGGGACACCAGGTCGCTGTCTGTCGGATATGTCTCATTGAGCCGGATATGTCTCAAGGCTCACACACCTGCCTTGTTATTGTCATAACTGGATTTCTACTTTGTCGCCTAATTTTAAGAGGCAAGGGGAGAAAGTCAAGTGGAACTTCTTGGCCTGGAGATAGAACAGTATTGTAGGGGGAAACGCATATCATTTTTGATGGTACTTTCTGACCTCTTTTACTAAGATGTAAGGTTGTGTTTGAGGACTGCATTTGAGAAATACGCAAGGTATTTATTTACTGCTGCTGCCGTGGGTCCCCAGGTTCCATTTGGAGGTGTTTGCTGTTCCACTGCAGCACAGGAAGCTGTCTGAGCGCAGTGTGGGTGTTGAGGTATGTGAAGAGGACCGGTTCTAGGACTTGGGTACTGGCCCAGCCACAGGAAGCTGCTGTTAGGTTTGCATTTGGAGCCTGACGGATCCCAGCTCCCAGGCTGCCCCTTTAGTGTACGGTGAACGCAGTTCCCTCCTGCTTTTCTCTCCCTCTTTCCTTCTCTAGTTTGGACTTGTCACTTGGTGTGTTAAGCCCCTTGTCTGTCACCAAAATCTGATCAGCGGCCCCTTGGACTCAGCCCAGATGTAATAAGAAATTTGTTCCACTTTTTATTATTTGAATGTTTCAATATTAGATATTGGGCTCCCGTCTCAAATGAAAAGGATCTCATCTGGTGGCTGAGAATTCTGATGTCATATATTTAAGGAGCAGACTTGGGGGCTCAGCTCAGAAGATGTGTGTTGCCTGAACCCACGTGTGGTGATTGTGGGATGATTTAGTATATGTGGACTTTTGTTAATCTATGGATTTGGGGTTTAGAGTCCAGTTCACTGTTTATACCTTCACCAACAGTGATTTCTTTTCCATCTTGGAATGTTTCTATCCACTTATGTGTCCCCTGTGGTCTCTATCCTAGGGGTTGGTATCCTCACTTGACATTTTGTACGTGTCCAAAAGAGTCTAAGTGCTGGGTTTTTCTCCCTGACCCAAGCCAAGGGGTTATCAGGAGACTAACCGAAGCCTGAGAAATGCCTGGTCATTCTCCCTCTGCCCAGAAGTGGGCATTGGCCAGGAAAATTCCATCTCTGTCTTTTCTCTGATGCTCCAACCAGGGACCTCTCCTGATCACTCTCTTAAAAAGAGATGTGTTCCTAACAGACCAGTGCTGCGTCTGCCGAGGGCAGCCCTCCTCTGGCCCCAGAGGTCTCTCGGGGAAGCTGAAGGGAAGAGACCCACAGGGATTCAGCCTGAGCACGTCCTCTCCGGCTCCACTCCACCCTCTTAGCCTCGTGGCCCCAGCTACAGGTGCACTAGGGCGCCAGCTCTTTTCCATGTAGACCTTGCTCTGTAGCGGCCATGGAGAAGCTACAGCCCTGAACTCGGGCCAAACTCAGGAACAGCAGCAAGGGTAGGGGTGGGGGGTGGAGGTACAGGACTCTGAATTCACTTTCATGTTTAACCTGTTCCGTCTGATTGGGTTTGACAACATCATATTGTTCCCCACTATCATCTTCACTTCTGTATTCCAATAATTATAGACTTTACTCTGAAACTGATTTTGTGAAAGTTATTAAATGCTACTTGAATGTGTATGGAGTTTACACACCCTTTTTCAACCCTGTCTTGGAAGGTTTTCCTTGCTCAGTCCCACAGAATCCTTTCCTCTGGGCCCCACTGCAGGGAAAAGCCTCCGCTGATTCTCACTGTTCACTCATGTCATTCTGGTCTACTGAGCTCCAGAACAGAGGCCGAAGCAGTTTTATGTCTTTTCTCGCAAACACAGCATTACAATGACTTCAGAAACATGAAGTGACCTGCTGTCACCACAGAAATGGCACTGTCCTTGGCAGCTCTTCCTCCTACCCTTAAACTTCCCTGGGCTTCCCCTCCCAGCCTCCAGACACAAAGTCGGCCAACATCTGTGCTTGGTGTTCTTTTCTTTTCTTTCTTTCTTTCTTTTTTTTTTTTTTCAAAACAATTGGAAAACATTTATTATACTGAAATGTATACATCCTACTATTAAAAAAACAAAGTAGCAAATTTGCTGGTGCCATAATTTAACTTGTCTCACTGGGACTAATGCTCAATACTACTTGGTATGATTTTAAGTTTGATGAGCTTTTAGCTTTTTCACTCCACTTCTAAAACCCTCGAGAAATTCAAAATATCACACAGCACTGAGTGACATTTATTGTTCCATAAATCTTGAGACTCAAAAATGTGCTTGGTGTTCTTCAGCCCAGCTGTTTACAGTGATGGTCCAGGGTTCCTCGCCATCCCCACCCCATTCTAGTTCACTCCTCTGGGTTTCTTGGAGTGTCAGCTATACATCTAGAGCATTAGTTTGAAGGTTTAAGGGGGTAATGCCAATTTCCCGCCTCCTCTCTGGAGGTGCATTCTGGGGGAGGTTTCTGGCCTGTGATGTTACCTGCTCTGGCACTGCTGGTTTTATTGATCACACAGGTGTTCTTCTCTGAAGTATAAGCATCCAAAGTCTGAGCTGGAGGAGAGCATCTTTTATACTATAGAACAGTGGTTCTCAACCTTGGCTGCACATTAGAGTCACCTGGGAATCTTTTTAAAATCCTGATTTCTGGGCCTCATCCTCCGGAAATTCTGTTTCTTTGTTACCAATCTTGTGGCCCCACCCCATAACAAAGAAACAGAATTTCCAGAGGATGAGGCCCAGAAATCAGGATTTTATTATAATATATATGTATATTTTGATTGATTTCCGAGAGAAAGGGAGAAGGGGAGAGATTGAGAACAATGATGAGAATCATTGATTGGCTGCCTCCAGCAGGTCCCCTACTGAAGATTGAGCCTGCAACCCAGGCATGTGCCCTTGGCCGGAAGCGAACCTCGCACCCTTCAGTCCACAGGCCAACGCTCTATCCACTGAGCCAAGCCAGCTAGGGCCAGATATCAGGATTTTAAAAAGATTCCCAGGTGACTCTAATGTGCAGCCAAGGTTGAGAACCACTGCTATAGAAGAATAGAACTTGGGCTTTTACAGATTTTGCTTGGTGATATTAGAAACACAAGTTTGCAGTTTCTTTAAAATTGTTACTCCCAAAGCCAGACTTGCCGGCCTGAGTGCTGGTCCATGGGATGGATCTTAAAAGATGTTGCAGAATTCTGGCAGGTTTCCCAAAAGCAGGGGAGATGTTCATTTGGACACGGGAGAGGGTCTTAAATGTCCCCAGGAGCAGCATCACCCATTGGCACTCTTCCACCAGCTCCTCACTACCCAGTCCCGGGTCCCACAGGGAATGGGATATGGAATCGTAAGTCCAGCCCAGGCATAACTCACATGTGCCTGTCACGTGCCTTGTCTCATTTGATTCTTTATAACGTTCTGGCTGGAGACCACACACACTCCAGAGACTTCAGTGTCTTCCAGTTTGAGCCTTGGTTCCGCCATTTAATAGCTATGTCACCTTAAGGTGAGTAACCTCTCTAAACCTCAGCGTCCTGGTAACATCCAGATAGCACTCTGCAGTTCCCCACTCCTTCCACCCGGCACAGTCCCCCGCACTGAGGAAGCAGGGCAGATGATCGCCCCATTTCTGCACGTGGCTGCCTAATGTCACACAGAATGTCAGCAGGGGAGTCAGGACTCGGGCCCTGGGCTCTGGTGCTCAGGTCCACAGCTCTTCCATGAAGAACTAATGAACTTCACGTCCAAGAAATTGTAGGACTCCCCTGCGATTGTGTACAGAAAGTTGTGTGCACTTGTCCGGAAGGGGAATCTCTAGTCATCAGGTCCTCAGTGGGCTCCATCGATGCCAGAAACGTAAGAACCACCATTTACATCATGCAAACACCAGGCCATTTGCAAAGTTGAATCTGTCCATTCTTCTCAGCAGCCATATTTTTATCTAAAGCAGAGCCACAGCCCAGAGAAGGTGAGATGCCGCAAGTAGGCTTTCGTGCCCGGACTTCCCTCTGCATTTAGTGCTTCTCCCTTGTCTCAAATAATCTGCTTTGGTCAGACAGCTCCTCCTTGCTGTGTTTTGAAAGGTTGGTCTGAAAGAAAATACCAATAAAAGACGTGCTCTCTAGTCTTCAGTCTGTTTACTCTTAATTTGTACGCTGTTAGTTGTGGTTCTCAGTGTGGTTCAGAGAACAGCCTCTGGTGCCACATTGCCTGGGTCCAAGCTACTCCACTTACTGGCAGTGTGCCTGTGGAAGTCACATCACCTTCTTGTGCCTCAGCTGTTTAGCTATAAAATGGAGATAACAATGAAGATTAAACAAACCAACAGGTAACATGTAAAATAGAACAGCTATTACCTGGTCTGCAAACTCATCCTATATAATAAAAGGCTAATATGCAAATTGACCAAAAAGCAGAACAACCAGTCGCTATGACACGCACTGACCACCAGGAGGTAGATTCTCAATGCAGGAGCTGCCACTGGTGGTCAGTGCGCTCCCACAGTGGGAGTGCTGCTCAGCCAGAAGCCCTGAGCCAGGCTCACGGCTGGCGAGAGCAGTGGAGGTGGCGGGAGCCTCTCCCACCTCTGCGGAGCTAAGGATGTCTGACTGCCAGCTTAGGCCCGCTCCGAGCCGGCCTAAGCTGGCAGTCAGACATTCCCCAAGGGCTCCTGGACTGCAAGAGGGCGCAGGCCCTGCTGAGGTACCTCTCCACCCCTGAGTGCATGAGTCTCTTGCACCAGGCCTCTAGTAGGATTATAAAAGGAAAGTGTGATGACAGCAATGAGAAGTAGCAGCTTATGGGCAGAGACAGAAAAGGTGAAAAGCAGACCGGTGATGCCCAGGAGCACTGCTCCAGAGCCCTTCAGGGGAGGTCCAAGTCCTGCCCCCAGTGCCACTGTTACTGGTGTCCACACGGACAAGCCCAGTGTCATGGTAGGGAGGGAGGAGGAGGACTAACTTGCTGAGCACTTAGGCTGTGCCCAGGACTGTGCTGGGAACATTACTTACATTATCTCTTATAACAGTGGTTCTCAACCTTGGCTGCACATTAGAATCACCTGGGAATCTTTTTAAAATCCTGATTTCTGGGCCCCATCCTCCGGAAATTCTGTTTCTTTGTTATGGGGTGGGGCCACAACATTAGTAACAAAGAAACAGAATTTCCGGAGGATGAGGCCCAGAAATCAGGATTTTAAAAAGATTCCCAGGTGACTCTAATGTGCAGCCAAGGTTGAGAACCACAGTCCTATAACCCACAACAGCCCTGCCGGTGGGTGATCTTGACCCCATTTTGAAGAAGCTTGGAGAGGGGAAGTGGCCTGCGGAGCCCCACTGCTAATGAAGAGCAGAGCAGAGTGTGGGCCAGGCCTGACTCCAGAGCTGCTGTGTTTGTGATGATGCAGTGCCACTTTCGAGGCAAGTGTGCCTATTACCAAGGCATTTCAAATAACAATTACAATAATACAACGTCTTAAGAATGCTGGTGGGTGCAAAAAAAGGGAAAGCCACATTTTTTGTAGAAAACTCGGCTCTCCAAAGTGACTCATCCCCAGTGTGTCAGGAGCTGGAATTTCAGCAGTACCTTTTTTAAGCACATGCCGTGGTTGAAGAAGGATCCCATAGCCTCTAGCTGTGACATCTGCAAAATCTGTTGTCCTACTGACATGCCTTCCCTTCAACCCTTATTGTCTCTCACCTAGGTCAGTGGTCGGCAAACTCATTAGTCAACAGAGCCAAATATCAACAGTACAACGACTGAAATTTCTTTTGAGAGCCAAATTTTTTAAACTTAAACTATATAGGTAGGTACATTGTTATTAACTTAATTAGGGTACTCCTAAGCTGGCCTTTGCTAAAAACGTCCTCAATCTGATTGAGGTACGTTC